GCTTGTAGGGACATTCCCACTAAAAAACTCCATGTTCCTGTAGATTGGAGGATGAATCCTGTCATCTAGCCTATTGGCATCAGGCTGACGGGTTATCCCTGCCACCCGTCATGTCCTGTGGATGAGTTATATGAGAATATATATAAGAATCTTGAGTCTTCTTCCTGTTCGTCCTACTCCCTGGAAGAGCGGTGGCGTTGCCCCCTCTTACTTGAGGGCGTGGGAGCCACTCTATCTTATTTCTGCCTCAACACTGAGGTGCCTGTAGGCAATATCATGATTCTCCGGGTATTCATCATATAAGAATCTATTTGAGTCTGCTTCCTGCTCGTCCTGCTACCTGGAAGAGTGGTGGTGCTGCCCCCTCTTACGTGATGACGCAGCAGCCACTCTACTTTATTTCTGCCTTGACACTGAGGTGCCTGTAGGCAGTATCAAGATTCTTCAGGTAATCCATCCTCCATCGCATGTGTCGGATGGTCAAGGTCGTAGCCTTGGAGGCCCCTATGTTAGGCCTCGGGCTGGGAGGAGTTAGATCTATCTAGATACGTATCAAGGTCTAGAAGCTATCCCCCTTTTTCAATTAGACAGTTGGTTATCTACGGAAACCTCTCATAACTGATGTACGAGGTGCGCTCTTGCCTTCACCTCTCATCTAATATTTCTTTACTCTCTGGGGTTCCCATCCATGGGGTCCGTTGAGCCACCGGGTCCAGACCTCCCCTTTTTACACCAAATCTTATGACAATCTAGGTTGGATCTGCCTTCTCATTCCTATCGTCCGTGAGTGTGCCAGATGCTTCACACCAGGGCGTTTTTCTCTCAGTGTGGCGGCGTGGGTATTCGTTCCCCAAAGCGTCGAGTATCGATGCAGTGGGAGTTCCCTTACGAAAGGGAACGTCTCGGGTTACTATTGTAACCCTCGTTCCCTACTCAGACGCTGCATCCCTCGGCCACACTTTTCGCGCTCCTGAGAACGACTTGCTTCGACCCTTCAAAAGCTGACGTGGCTATGTTCCGATGTCCTTTTATAGCTTCCGGATCACCGTCACATGCAACGTCCCGAGTGACGAAAGACATAGACATCAAGACATAGACATCAAGATAGTAGTTCCATTACAGACTTCAGACGCATCATGCCGAAGGCATTACCCAAAGCGTCGAATATCGATGTTCCCTACTCAGGGAACGAGGGTTACAATAGTAACCCGAGACGTTTTCAACATTGACAGTAAAAAAATATATATATTTCTTGAGTACCGAATCAGCATATTGCAAAGATTTCTGAAGGATCATGTGACACTGAATGTTTGTAAAATTCATGTGGCAAATTTTCTGATTTCATGTTTTTGTGCTCATCAGACTACAATTACTTAAACAGATTTGAGTCTGACACACCAAAACAAACACCATAGGTGCGACACAGGAAACCAGGGACAAAGGTTTATTTTGGGGATAAAAGAACACCCTTGTGCAATGTTTTCAAATTACAGAACAGTACATCCTATGCTAAAAGTTAGTCAGTGCACATCTGTCTTGTCCTGTTGCTAGTCTTTTTAAAGTCTGACTTCATTAACGTGGACAACAGCTTGCAGGTCTGAAAAAAGAAAAATCAAACAGAGAGAGGTCAGCTGACTAAGAAGATGACCTCTGACCTTCAAGTGTCATTGATGGATCCAGTCGATTGGAGCTGTGGCCACCATTACCATGAGCTGTCATTCTGATCTCCATACACCAATATATCCACCTGCTAAGGTTCCTGCCTCTGCACCTGTCCGTGACACTGGGGGATCTTGTGTCAGCAGCTGCCATTCTGGACAGCAGGATATCTGTTTGCACAGGGCAGCTGAAAGCAGGCAGCGGCACGGCCTGAGGATTAAACCATCTAGAAAGCAGTGTGGCATGATGAAGCTGTCTATCAGCCAATCGTCTGCCTGTCCTGTCACTGTCCTAACAGTCGGCAGAGAAAAATATGGGCCGTGAGCAGGCGAGGTGGGTGCGTACCGTGGTCCTCGTTAAGCACACACGTATGTGTGTGTGTGTGTGTGTGTGTGTGTGTGTGTGTGTGTGTGTGTGTGTGTGTTTTCTACCTCGGAACAGAAGTGCTGAGCTTCAGCAAATAATAGGAGCTATCGGGGGGATGGCTTATGTTTTTTTTTAATTTTCCAATTACATCACCCTCCTGAATGTTAATATACTATTTTAGAGAGGCCTGGTTGCATTTCACAAACCTAAGAGTGTGAACACCATGAAAATATATCCACAAATCTCTTTAAAGTGGGGTTGCATGAAATTTATCACAGACATATTCTAGAAATTTGAATTTAAAACCACACAAGGAGTATTTGATTGCAGTGTGGCAGTTTAATGGCAGTTTAATGGCAGGACAAAGGTAGTTAAAAGAAATGGGATATGATTATGTTTGCTTCGGTTCACAGACATAGCTGAATTAAAATTAGGGCTAGCTACCAATAAAATAAAACAAACTAAAATTAATTAAAATTACTTACATAAATATATTTTAGTAAGTGCAAGTTATATATATTAAGTGAGTTTATGAACAGATACATTTAAGTTTGAATGTTTAATTTCTACCACTTTGTTTTAAATTTATATTTATATGCAGATTATGAAAATTATCTTTCTCAGTCTGATTAAACAGGAAGAATTTCTCAAAAACAAATCACTTCAGTGTTACTTTGTCATGAATGTAATTTTTTCAGTGGCAGACAGAATCTTGCAAGTCTCAAAGGGAAAACGCTGGTGTATTTGTCATGTGTATACCCATATTTCTATAAATAACTACATGCAGTCTTTTTCTTTGTGAAACACGCATGCACGGACACACACACACACACAAATAAAACTTTTGTTTCTTAAATCCTAAAACCCATTCCAATGTGTGCTCAGACTTTTGGATCTCTCTAAATGCTTAGAATCCAGTTGAGACACTGATTAAAATAGATTTCATTAGATGCATGACAGGCAATTTGTGGTTTACACCAGCTCGTCATCTTGCACATAGACAATCTAACACATCAATTGGGAGGAACCCAGGCAAAGCCCAGTGAAATTCCAGCTTTGATCCACTGCCTTCCATAGCGAGCTTTATGATTCGTGTCATCTACAGTATACTTCTTTCCTCTTCAGTGAAAGCATGCCCTTCTTGCATAATTCACTAATATATGGCTTGTGTAAAATCAGTGTGCTCCCTCTCTTCCAGTCATTGTGGCATCCACAGGAAAAGAAGCTGCTGAAGTTCCGGCTTACATCGGGCCAATCAGACAACGCAATTAGAATGAGTTTTTAGTGCAGTGGAAATCACTGTAAAGAACTCAATATTGTGAAAGTCTTTGCTCATAATTCCTCCATCTAGCGAAGAGGTTTTAGGAGCTTTCATCAGCTTTAAGGATACAGAGTGCAAAAATGAATGAATTTCATTTTGTGCTGACATTGTTGTGTTCTTTTTTCCAACATGACATCATGACTTTGCGTAAACATACACGCCACTTTCAAGTCAAGTGGCGTGTTATCTATACGCATTTTAAGCTATCCGCGTGTATGTCCACGCCGAAACGAACCGTCATCTTTTGCGTGTATGTCTACGCCGTTAAACGTCCGAGTGATTTCGCGTGTATGTGTACGCCGTTAAATGTCCGAGCGAAACGAAGCAAAATTCATATCTACATCTGTGGAGCAATATTTTTTTTCCTAGGATGGTAGGGGAAGACTCATAAATGGTATTAACCCCAGTGACGGGTAGGTTTAGGGACGGGGTTGGGGTAGGTCATATATTTATATATATACAGTAATGTAACGTTAAGTCAACGGCGTTGATAAACACGCTGAAAAGCGATTATGCGTGTTGATAGCACGCCAAAAATGGAAATACAAATTGGCGTGTCATACATGCGCCATTTCATGAGATCAGTCTGCTTTTTTCAACACACATAGTTGTATCCATATTATGGATGATGTAGGTAACATGCACATTACTTGACCTTGCTGTGAGAGGACAAATTGGTCTTTAGTTACAGGACAATATATTGCTCCTTTACTGTAGCAGTAAAGCGAAATAAGGATTCCAAAATGCAAATACACACAGGAAGTGTGTAGGTGTGTTAGGAGTGTTAGGAGAAGGAGTGCAGTGGAAAGAAAAGCCTTTCCTTTCAAATCTGTTCCCATCCTCTCTTAACTCACAAAATTATTTGCGATACAGCCAACATTGCTTACAGCTGTCTCAATGTAGTTTCAAAGACTGCCAGGGATGACTGTGAACTGAAGCTCCCTCTTGTCTCTGCCACCCCAGGGAACATGCCTTCTCTCTGTGAGGGCAGTGTCTTTCAAAGAAATACTATTCCCATATGACTTCCTTCTGTCTTCATAGCTGGGTATTTCATTTAAAAATAAATTAGTATAAAAAAAAAAAAGCTTGAGAAAACTTTAGAGGCAAAGAAGCTTGTGAAATACAGAATTTCTCTCACCCACAGTGTTATTTTTTTAAATGATGAAACGTTTTTTTGTCTAGTAATTGATTATGTGTATTTTTGCACAAATCTAGTATATTTTTTAACATTAAATGCAATTCCCCCAAATATTGGTTGTGCGCATTTTGATGGTTTCAGAGTTAATGGAGGGAGAACAGGGACACTTTTGTTTTCTTTTATCTGTCAGGTGGAAATTGGCTAATGGTTTCCAATGATAGCAGTATGTCAGAACTGAAGGGAAGGGAACTTGTGGTGAAATTGATGGTCAACTAACAAAGTTAACTTATCTTCCATAGGTCCACGGACATTTAAGTGAGGCATTGGGGAAATAAATACAATGGGATGATTTGAATTATTCCTTTGAGCTGTATTAGGTTGCACACTCTTGTATAGTATGAAACATGTCTTCACTGCTGCCCCATGTTGAACGGTTTTTCGAATATTGCTTTTCTAATTTAAAGACTTTGTGAGCGTCAGTCAATGCTTTCTTTTTCTTTTCTTTTTCTTATCCAGGGTGTACCTCTGGGCCCATAAATGAGACTAAAATGGTGGAAGAGAAGAAAAGACAAGAGCATGAAAGCCATCAACAATGCTCTACCCCGGGGAAATAAGCACAGGCCATTTTGAATTGGTGAAACACTAAGTCCCAGCTCTAACACTCCACTAGCGTGAAGACTTTTCCATTGGAGACTTAACCTGTAAATGCATAAGCTATGGTCAGCGGGTTTAATAAGGGGCTGATATATCAGTGCAGAAACACCCAACTCATGTGAAATAATTCTCTGGACCAGAGACTGAACATTTTTGTCCCTTGGCTAAAGGGAAAGGGTTTATTACCCTGCTCAAATACTGTGAGGCTCCATCCAGCCTAGTTCAAACTCAAGTGTTACCCCAAGCTGCTACCAACTGGCATCGCTCATGGCTTCCAGGAGGGCATCAGGAGCTTGTAATGGAGGCATGGTGAAGAGTGCCTTCTTCTGGTCTGTGGCCATATTCTTTCTGACTCACATAGGTGGTGTGAGGGGGGATTGCTGGCTCATAGAGGGCGAAAAGGGCTTTGTATGGCTGGCCATTTGCAGCCAAAACCAACCACCCTATGAGGCCATCCCTCAGCATATCAACAGCACCATAGTGGACCTTCGTTTGAATGAGAACAAGATCAAGAGCATCCACTACTCTGCCCTTAGCCGCTTTACCAACCTCACATACCTGAATCTGACCAAGAATGAGATTAATTACATTGAGGATGGGGCTTTTTCAGCTCAGTTCAATTTGCAGGTTCTCCAATTGGGCTTCAATAAGTTGCGTAACTTGACTGAAGGGATTCTCAGGGGTTTGGGCAAGCTGCAGTACCTCTACCTCCAGGCCAACCTGATTGAGACTGTGACACCCAATGCCTTTTGGGAGTGCCCAAACATAGAAAACATTGACCTTTCCATGAACCGCATTCAGGTGCTAGATGGGTCCACCTTTACCAGCCTGACTAAGCTGACCACCTGTGAACTCTACACCAACCCTTTCAACTGCTCCTGTGAGCTCTTGGGGTTCGTTAAGTGGCTCTCTGTCTTTCCCAACAGGACAAGTGAACGGATGGTGTGTGATTCTCCTGCAGGAGTCTCAGGCTACAGTCTACTAAGCCAGAATCCGAACAATCCCACATACCGGAATGCTCTGCATATGCTGTCCACTGTGTGCACGGAGGACTATGTGACTCCGTACATCCCTGTGCCTCCCGAGACCACAACTTTCCCTCCGGACTCAACACCGTGTGGGCTGGAAGACTGTCCCTCAGGGACCGAGCCGGAGGAAATCAGCATCAGTCCCACGTACATAGACTTGGATTTGAAACCAATCATGAAACTCAAGCAAGTGTCTCACACGAACGCAGTAATCACTGTTCAGATCCCTTACCCCTACAAGAAGATGTACATCCTTGTCCTGTACAACAACAGCTTCTTCACTGACATACATAATCTGAAGCGGCAGAAGGAGGACATTGAACTGAAAAACCTGAAACCCCACACTGATTATACCTACTGTGTGGCTTCCATAAGAAACTCGTTGCGTTTCAATCATACTTGTCTGACACTGTCCACTGGGCCTAGGAATGGAAAAGAGCGAGTAGCTAGTAATGCAACGGCCACTCACTACATAATGACTATCTTAGGATGTCTTTTCAGTATGGTAATTGTTTTAGGGATTGTATATTATTGTCTGCGAAAAAAGAGACAACAAGATGAAAAGCACAAAAAAGCAGGTAGTTTGAAGAAGAACATAATTGAGCTTAAATACGGTGGTGAACTGGAGGGCGGAACAATATCCAGGATGTCTCAAAAGCAAATGATGGCTGGGGAAAGCATGACCCGCATGCCCTATCTACCCTCCGGCAGTGAAATGGAGCAATACAAACTGCAAGACATCAGCGAAACTCCGAAAATGGCCAAAGGGAATTACATGGAAGTGAGAACAGGGGAGCACCAAGATCGAAGGGAATGTGAGATGTCCATGCCTGGCAACAGCCAAGGCTCGGTTGCCGAAATCTCAACAATCGCGAAGGAGGTGGACAAGGTCAACCAGATTATTAACAATTGCATAGATGCTCTCAAATCAGAGTCAACATCCTTCCAAGGGGTGAAATCTGGTGCTGTGTCAACAGCTGAACCTCAGTTGGTACTGATCTCAGAGCAGCCTCAGAGCAAGTCTGGCTTCCTGTCACCTGTCTACAAGGACAGCTACCACCACTCTTTACAAAGACATCACGGATCAGATGCTTCTCCAAAGCGTCCGAGTACAGCCACTGGTGGTCCGATACGGAGCCCGAGGCCTTACCGTTCAGAGGCCTCGTACAAGTCGGAGTCAAAATACATAGAGAAGACTTCACCCACAGGGGAGACTATCCTGACCATCACACCCGCAGCTGCAATACTAAGGGCAGAGGCGGAGAAGATCCGTCAGTATAGCGAGCATCGGCACTCCTACCCAGACTCCCACCAAATTGAGGAGCTGGAAGGACCGGACAGCCGGAAAACCTCCATCTTGGAGCCCCTTACGCGACCTCGGGCCAGAGACTTGGCTTACTCGCAGCTCTCTCCCCAGTACCACAATCTTAGTTACTCATCTAGTCCCGAGTACTACTGCAAACCGTCGCACAGCATCTGGGAGCGCTTTAAACTCCATCGCAAGCGACACAAAGATGATGAGTACATGGCTGCGGGCCACGCTCTGAGGAAAAAAGTGCAGTTTGCTAAGGATGAAGACCTGCATGACATTCTAGATTACTGGAAGGGAGTGTCGGCCCAACATAAATCTTAATCTACTCAAGTGTTTGTCAGTGTCTTTTTCATTTCCGATGGACCACAAAGAACAGGACCAGAATGAATCCTGTGAAATCACATTCTAACGGATAAATGTTACACTTCAGTGAATTTCAACTTAGGGAAAGAGGTTTGTGTACCAACATTAAAAGATGTTACTTAAAGCAACAAGAGGAGAATATATTGCAAATATAAAAAATATATATATATATATATATATGTTGAAATGGATTTTTAGTATTTGATTACCGCATGGCCAAGTCCTGTGACAGTGGATTTGCTGTTGTGTACTGTGAGACTAAAAGAACCCAACAGTGACAGACATCTTCTGAAATCTTAGTATTTCTTCTGCAGGACCACTGTAATTTATGGACCTTTTTTCTCCCAATATTTGAGTTTGTTCTAAATACAATTGAACTATGTACAGATACTGTTTCTATATTTGCAACGTTTGCTGTTAAAAAAAAAAATCTATGATGTGTATGATTCAGGTTTAGACCATGGATTTCGGAGTTAGCTCCAGTGATATTATCTGTCTTTAAATGAATGTTTACCGTCCTGATGGATAAACATTGCACTGGTCAATGAAATGGCATATTTTCTTTTAGGCCACAGTTTACGCTACCCTGCTTTGCCAATTTTCTTTTTAATCCATGCCACTGATCAGACCGCACAATATTACACAAAGGCTTATATTATGTTACATTTGTGTATCATAACCACAATGTAAATCCGTTTGGTTGGGATGGTGTAGAGGAAACATCTGCATACAAGACTGCAGTGTCAAAGTGGAAGAAAATGAAAATCAATGGAGAAGTAGAACATTTTGATTCACATTCAGTAGTTATGTTCAGTTGGTTTACCAGTGAATCGCTCCACAAAACATGCACTTCTGCTTTTTACCTTACGATGCCTAATAGTGGTGAGGGGTTATCTGATCGTGAACCAAAGTGCTTGGGTGGCAGCTCATCACACATTTTTCTGCAGATGTTTCCACCAATCTCGAGCCAACAGCCCTATGGATGAATGTATTACATACATAAACAGCCTTTTCAGCTGTAATTTCTTTGCAATTTTTTACAACCACATAATCCCCATTTTTCATGCTGTATGCCGTGTTTTGATATTCATACTTCTTTTCAGTTTCATGCATTTATCATTTCTGTCAAAAATATTTAATCAATCAGAAAAAAAAAATGTTTATAAACCTAAGGGTTTTGTTTTAGGCTTTCTTACTGTTTGGCGGGTAAAAATGCTTTTGTAAATGTCGAATGCCACTGCACGGACCTTGTGATGATCAGCGCTGATCCGGAAGGTGAGGCATGTGAGAAAGACTAAATTACCCAGCTGAACTGTTGCCACTGGAGTTGTACATCAGCTATTTAGAGAAGTACAGGAAGTAACTGGGTTGTCCAATTTCTTTTTTTGTTTATTTCAACCGCCTTAAACTTCTGGAACTATCTGTATAACTGTATTTTTTTTTTCTTTTTGTTTAAGTGTTGATGTTTCTGAAAGTCTTCATCTGTTGTAATTTTTTTTTTAAAGACAATACATTTCAGTAGATTTTGAGAGCTGTCAGGTTTATAGGTAATCTAGCAAGTAACTTACATGTTTTTATATTGCATAGTGTAGCACTCCTGTATCTCATTCAATTTAGAAATGTTGGAAAATCTGTGAACGGACAGAGCATCATATACAAACAAGAGCACAATGAGTGTTATTTTGTATTTCTTAAAAAATATGTTACCTGCTTTCAGACAAAGTACTGTGAAATAAAGGAAAGAGGGCACCCATACTGTCAAGATCCTCATGACCAATTTTCTTTGGAGTCCTCTGTTTCCCCCCATAAATGTTTCTTTGCAAACTCAACACACACACAAAAAAATAAGTAATTAAAAAAAGTAAATAAATAAAATACAAATAAAATAAGACAATACATATTCACAAGGGCTGTTGATTGTTTTGAAATAATTTAAATCAAATGAATAATTATATGAAATGCTGATCATATTTCAATATTTGCTTCAAATAGCTTCAAATAAAGAAAATTCAAAGACATGATATTAGTGTGGCAAATGAAAGCATTGAAAAGACATTACAAGCCTGTCACTGGCCTAAAGTACACACCACAGTGAACCAATTTTTTTTGCAATTGAACCAGTTTATTACACAAGAGCATTCACACGAAATGTCCCCTATAACCAGTTTATCTCTTGACAAAGAGGAAATGATAATGCATAACAAACTTTAACTGGTAAATATTCAGAGTGGTTCCCACTCAAGAAATTACATACAGGTCGAAGACATGATTAATTGTGTTAATTTTTTTAATTGCATTATTGGTTTATATAATTAAACACACTAAATTAGCATGTTATTATTCACAGCCTTAACATTGACAATTCAAAGGCCCTGAGACATAGTAGTTTTAGCAGCAGCATTTCCCTTTTTATTCTTGGTTCACTTGACTGACTCATTCAAAGGGTCCTGAGTGACACCATATCGAACTAAAGGAAAACCTTTGTTATAATGAACTTGGGGTGCTAAAACGTCTAGGTTACGACTCTAACCTCTGTTCCCTGAGAACACCCTCCTTATGGGGAACGCCCTCCACATGAACCGGTGTCTGAAAAGCTATCCAATCATGGCAATCGATATTGACCGGCGACAGCCTATGACGTCACTACTAGTGCGACCCGGAAGTATAAAAGGGGCGCCTAGAGAACATGTCATCCACTTATCGTCTGAAGGGACTGTTCAGCAGGCATCCCCGAGGCATGGCGTACGACGCAGTGTCTCGTTCCCTGTTCTCAGGGAACAGAGGTTACAGTCGTAACCTAGACGTTCACTGCGTCGATGATGCTATGGGGAACGATATACAATTCCACCATGCTGAGGGGAGTGCATGTATATTATGGCTTGTGACAGAAACGTCAGAAATGGCAGTTACAATGAAAATACCAAGAAACACTCTCCCTTCGAGTCACATACAGGCTGTCAGTGACATTATTCCCTACGGTCACTGCCCAAGCTATAAGCCTCAAAGTGGTCTCCGAACAACGGAAGGTCTACCAAGGCCGCTCAAAGGCTTGGAACCAACAGCTTTCATGAAAGGGGTTCCTTTAAGGGACTATGGCCAGGGGGTCCGAAAGGAGTCCCGTCCAGTCACTTTCTGAGGGGAACATAAAGTCAACCCCACATGCCACCAGGGAGGCTGACCTGGTCAAATTTACTGACCTAGTCTTGCCAACGACCTGTCTGTTTCCTAGACAGAGTCTCTCACAAAATACAATAGAGCAAAACTGCAATTAAAGGCAGTAGGTCACTCACAAACCAAAAAAAGAACTGGTTCGGAACTGGTGCTAGTTCAAAGTTGATTCAAAGTTGGTTCAACTTGCGAACCTTCTCAGAACCTGTTTGTTTTTCCACTGACTAGAGAGCCCAGCAAACGACGTCATTACGTCACTGTGTACTTCACCATACGTCTTTGCTTTCCCATTCCCGTCGTGTTGTTGGTCACAATAACCCCGCCCCCAGCCCCCGACGTAAGCATGCCGTGGTAAAAGAATGGTTCTAGTCCATCAAAGAGTTGGTGCCGCTTTGGAACCAATTTTTCTGGGCGAGAACCGGTTATTTGGCTGTCGAAACAAAAAGAACTGGTTTACGAGTAGGCACCGGCTCCGAACCAGCTCTCAAAATGCTTTGGTAGAAAAGGGGTAATAGAGACAGGCATCCTGGAGAATAGAACTCAGCATAGTGCTTTAAAACCCTTGCAAACGAGGGGAGTATCTCTACTCGATCCTGGATCTACACTGTGTTTCAAAGCCCTGTGGAGGCTGGGCACTCTAAAGGGACCCTAATAAGATGGGGCGCCTCCAGCTCTAGGGCTGATATAACAGGGAGGCCTTGTGAGAGTCCTTCGAACTTCCGACCAGACTTAGGGAGTTAAGCATTTAAACAGAGCGATCCTCAGATAGATTCTGGAACACTATGCTCAACCTGATAAGTATTGACCAGGCTCTGGGATAAAATCTTCATGGTGGCAACGTGATACTTAATGCCTTTGCAATGCTAAGCATCCAACTCGTTGGGGAGCCGCCTTCAAGGAGGCCTGTCAAGGCCTAATTTCTTGATAGCGAGGATGTTAGCAGAGCTAGCCTTCAGAAGCCTAGGTGCTCTCACAGACATTTCTGTGGGCCTTTAACATCGCCAACAGGCAGTGTACTCAGCAGAAGTGCTATCGACCCTTTAAAGCAAGGAGAGTACAATATTACGCTACCGGAGTATCGAGGATGCCTACTTTAAGGCCTGTAGCTTCGAATGTCACGGGCGTCAGCCTGAGCAGTGCTTTGGCTCTAAGGGAGCATACTCAAATCCCAAATGGGAGGGAGTAACTAATCTGTTTCTACCTGAGCCTGGGTGGTGAACGGTGATAACATACGAGCTATGGGTAGCAAAGTACTCTAATTAATGACCCTAACAAGGGGAGCACTATCAGCATGACCCTGAAGGATGTATCAGGGTCGAGGCCTATTTTCTTGTAATTTTACAAGACATATTCCATATTCTCTACTAAACCTAAGAGAATGGAGACCTAAGTAAGTGGCCAACGGCATTCGACCTTGTGACTTGAATTCTTATATGCAAGGGGCTCAGAAGAAAAATCCTTTTTAACTTAAGGCCTTGCTGCCAGCTACTACACTCGATGCTGTAAAGGGCGGAGGCCTGAGCACACTGCTTCTTACTCTCAGGAGAGAAAGACCTGACAACACCCATAGATATCTACATGGGAGGCTTTTCGAAGGTAGCCTGCTACCTATGCTGCGATCTACCCTGTTAAACCACTAGCATTTACACCTAATGGAAAAAAGGTGGGCCTTGGCCAGACGACTCTTGTAGTAAGAGTAGATTTACAGGAATAAAATCTGCTGATGGTCTAAGGAACCTACACTCAGATACTCATGCCAGATGTACTAACGCTTGTGCGACTACTTCAGGCGTATTTGTTTCGCAAGGTGCGCATAAAACCATGGCGAGGTATGTACGAACGGGACGCACCGAGATGAAAGCGCAGCCTGCCTGTCGCAGGAACTGAAAATGGCAAAATGCGCTTTTCGTGTCATGCATATGCTAAGGAGACGAGCTGAAAAGATTTTTGCCACAGGAATCACACTTTTTCAGTTGGGTGGAAACGAAATCATTAAGCATTACAGATTAAGCAGCTACGCAATATTACAGTTACTGGAAGAAATCAAAGATGACATTGAATCTCCGACTCAGCATTCACATTCCATTCCAGCAGTTGTTAAACTCCTCGCTACATTACAATTATTGGCATCAGGATAATTTGATACAGTCATAGCATCAGCAGTGAGAGGAGGAGGCCCATTCAATTGCACGTTTAAATATGCACAATTTACGGTATAGTGGGTGGGGACAGGCGCTGATTAACTGATGAACTGCAGGTAAC